CCCCAAAACCCCAAAACCCCAAAACCCCAAAACCCCAAAACCCCAAAACCCCAATCTTTATATAATAATTGAATTATGGGCAACAATTGATGAGCTACCAGAGATAAAAGCATTAAAGAGCAAGAGTCAGAATCTTCCAGATACTCCTTATTCACAGTGACCGACCACGAAGACCTGCAATGGAATGACAACGACCAGTACTTGTCACTTGCTCATAAGAGACGTATTGAGAGAAGCAATAGGACTATAAGAGTAAGGATTAAGGACTTGTGCCATTATGCTAGAAGTCAAGAAGAGCATCGAGTTGACAAAAAATATCGAGGCTTGGGATTTGGGTTAATTAGAGGAAGAAATAACATTATCACTGAGATGCTCATTTTATATAGAAGTATAAAGTTGTCTGTCAGGTTGATGATGTTCAATCTCAGCAATATGGACATTCACAAGGGGCGTCTGGAATTTTGGTACCATACTCAGAAGATTATGAAAGTGAGCATAGTAAAGCAAACGAGAGGATAATTGTTGATTCAAATGTTGTAAAAATCTGCTGAACTTTAGGTACCTCAAAAATCAAGCCAACCCCACCAAACTACGAGCTCCCAAGATCAACCGAATGGCTCTAAGGGTTTGAAGAAATCTGAATCAGAAGGCGGGTTTTCATTTGGGGATGAAAGCTCCAAACCTCGTCACAATTCATCCAAGAAAGCGATTCTTCCTCCATCAGTACAGCCTTGTAATACTGAAAAGAAATAGATGTTTCCTGCTAAATAGTTATGAAATTAAAATTTTGCTTCATTTCAAAGTTCTATAATCTGTTAGCATAAATTGGGATACAAATTTTCTCCAAATTAGGATGAAAATTTCAAAGATTTAATCGAAAAATAAAGTGCTTAAAATGTGCTCCTCTAGTTAAATTACTCTCTTTCTTTATTTCACTAAGAGAATCGACTTGGCTCACCCATTCAATTCAAAATTTTATAAAAATCGGTTCCCAAATTCAGAGTTTACAGGAGAGGAGATCCTTCTGAAGGCCAGGATTAGGGGTTAAATTATATTTTGTGTTACCCAAGGAGCCAATGCTTTAATATTATACCAAGAAGAGAGGGATTGAGTGTTTAGAAATCAAGATTGGAGAGTTTGTTAAAAAGTTAGTGATATCATTTATTAAATAGTTCTGCTTATTTGAACAAAGAGTAGGATTATTTTTGCCATACATTACAATACTAACCTCCATTCAAAAATTTACCCTCACTATCACCTCTAACTCCTTTATCCACTCTCTACAACCCCTCTTACCACTCCTCCCATCCCTTCCCACCCCAATCCCCTCCTTCAGCCCCCTCTAAACCTCACCAGCCCAACCCCAATATTTTCAACTCACCCTCTCTAAACCGGGGTTTTGGGGTTTTGGGGTTTTGGGGTTTTGGGGTTTTGGGG